TATCAAAATGCTGAGTTTGATCAATCTCATGAACCATTTGTGATAAAAACCTTTATCTAAATTAACAGGATTCGAAACTATTATAATATTTTTTATATCTAACTTAAAGGTTTATGCCATTAAATATGAGTAAAAATTTAAAAGATTTTTTTTAATATGTGTGTGGTTTTAAGTGTTTATGCAACTTTAATATGAAAGTGTTTCTACAACTATTTCAATCTTGTATTCAATTATTTGTTAATTATATTCAGGTGTTTCAAAGATTCCAATTCAATTGTAAATAAATTTTTTTAAGTGAAGTTGAAAAAAAAATTTCATATTGAAGCTATACTCACATTAAAGTAGCAAAATTTTTCATTTGTTTTTATGGGATTCAGGCACAAAATTTTTTATTCTAAACTTCACCAAAGGTTGAATTGAAAGAGTTTTAATTTATAATTGATTAGTAAATATTCTAATCATTCATAACCTCGCTAATTAGAACATAATTAATGACTTGCACACCGAGAAGATGGATAATGAAGATGATGAAATTGATTAAATTAGTTAATTGAGTAGGTTGACATTAACTAAGTTACTTAATTAATTAATAAATGAACATAAGAATCATATTGGGCCTTAAAGTAAGTTTTGGGTTTCTAAGCCCATCGGACCTAAGTCTATTGGGCTTATAACTCAAGTTTTGCATCAAAATTTAAGAATTTCAAAATTACCCACTAAACCTATAGGGCCAATGTTGGAGAGAAGGAGAGCATATGGGTCACGCACGTGAGTCTACTATATAAGCTAAGTTATACCTTCATCCTTCTTAGGGTTTTGAGTAGACATGGCATTCGTGTCATATTTCTCGTGTTCGTATCATTTTCATGTCATACTTGATACCTTAATAGGTCGTGTCATGTAACACCTGTTAAAATAAACGGGTAAAGTGATCCGACCCAATAATATTAACCGGTAATATGACCCGACCCATTAAGAAAAATATATTTTAAACAAATAAATAATCAAATGAAAAACATAATACCAAATAAGTATATACATACCATATTGTCACATTCAAAACATAAAAACGCATTTATTTTTCAAGTATTACATATTTACATACCCAAAATAAGAGCATAATAAAAAATAAAAATAAAACATTAGAACATTACAAAATATCAAATGTTAAACGATTTGCAAAATTAAGCGAGTTATGTTTCAAGGTTTGGGACCTGGAACATTTTCTTACAATCAAACCCTTCAATTTTCATCAATCATCATGGGAAATGGTGTTGAAACTTTGGCTTGATATATTGTCTTCAAGAGTTATATTGATGATGTTTTCAGTGAGGCTTTCCACATTAACACTCTCTTCCACATAAACTAAGCATAGAAAAATCAAATATTATGAACCATTCAAATTATGAGTACCAAAAATAATTATTAAAGAATAAAACAATAGTACTATATTATATAAAAGATATATTACCTCCTTTTCATGAGGGTTTGGAGGGTTTTAAAAATCTAAACGATAATGTAAGTGTAACCATTGTCTATTCGTGGAGGAATGATGAATCATGAGTGTTTATATATTCTTTCACATTTTTCATGCAGGCATGTCTTCTTGCCTGTACTAATACTATACTAGTTGATTTTAATTTTGGACAACAACATGATAAATAAAATTTATCCTAATAATAATAATAATAATAAAACTCTCATAATAAAAATAAATAAATGAATAAAACTTAATTTTTTAACTTATATAGAATAATAATACAAAAATATATATTTAATATAGAATATATCAATATATGCAATATGGCTATTGTATTTGATAATAAATTTTTTTAGTAATTAAACTTTAAAATTATCAAAATATTTTTTTTTTCTTAACATATCGAAACAGGTTACCCACGTGTTATCCGCGTGTATACCGGTTAAGAACCCGTTAATAAGTGACTCGATCAGTTATCGTGTTGACCCAATACCCATTATTTTCATATTGTGTTACCATGTCATGTAAGATACTGTCGGGTGTAGTTTTGAGTGTGAGAAAGAGAAGGATGGAGGGTAAACATTCTTCTCATTTTCCCTCCACCATTGCCGGCCACAAAAGGTAGGAGTTACTAGCATCTCTCGCCATGGTCATCTCATCTCCTTCCTTAGTTATCTTTGAACACTTAGAGCCCTCCTGCCTTGGAGGCTTTTGGAGAATTCTCTTCAAGCAAGGGAAGATTACATCCATGACTGGTCTTCAAAGGTGATCATCTCGTCTCTCTTACTTTGTTCGTAAAAAATTTGGTTCATCAATCCTTAGGCCTTGAAGATTTTGGTACATTTGGTTTTGAATTTTTATAATCTTAACTTCCGCTTCTAATAAAAAATTTAATGCATGAGATATTTAAATGATCTTCTAATTTCACACAATTTTTCCTTCACCGACTACAGTATATTCAAGTTTATGCTCGTTCAATACGGGATGATCCCAAAAAAATTTCCTTGGAATCTCTCATAAAGTCACACATTTTGTTCAAAATCATGGTAAAATTAGTTTAATAAAGAAAGCCTCTACACAAATCTATTGTTAGAGGAAAAATCTGCTGTATTTTAAAAATGTTGAGTAAGGATGCGATGGGTGGAAAAGTCACGGTCGATGCCTGAGAAAGAGGTGGGAGATGCGGTGATGGAGGTTGAGAACGAGGGCGATGTGGAGCGGTTAGGAAATGAAGACAATTTATATTCTTATCTTAACATTTCAGTCAAACAGATGAAGCATTTGGTATTAAAGTTGCAAAACAATCTCGGATTTTTTTTTTTTCTTTTGACAAGAAATGATAGAGAGATTTGGTAAAAATATAGTAGTGGTGTCAAATGAGTATCAAGTTGTTTAAGAGACATATAGAAATACTTAAAAAAAATCCTAACTAGTCAGCTCGTCTCTACCGTCAAGACAGAACACCCCTTATAAAGAGATACGTACCAACCGTAAATCTAGCCATGTAAGGCAACTCAACCATTATATCAAACAAGAAGCGTGTCTACCACGGATATCAAGTTGTATGAGAGGAGCATTGTGTTTCGGTGGTGGAAGAACTGGGAAGAGAGGATGAAGGGAGGAGATCGACTAGAGCAGGGGAAGAAGGGGGAAGAGGCTGCCGCCAGCTTCAAGTTGGAACAACGGGCCTGCAAAGTGTGGCCAATGAATTCCAAACAAGTGTAGAATTACTTAGGTGTCCTTACAACCAAGAAAGAAAAGACGGGTGAGAGCTTATCACACCAGTGTGGTGTGAGCCAAAAGTCCTCTGATACTTAAGTTAGACTTAACTGAAGGAACAAGCAACGGTTACCTTTTCAAGAAAATGATCATGCCTTTACATAGGGTTATGCATGGGTTTGGATATAATTCATAGGATACCTTGGAACTCCTTAAGTGATTGGTTTGAACCTTACATGATCATGCCGAATTAGTCAACAATAACTGACTATTGAAGACGCGATGAAGGGCACCAATTAAAAATCTCGTTAAGGAATGGCTCTTAACAACATTGGTGATCACGACCTACGTATGGACCGTGATTATAAAGATGGATATCACTTGCAGATCCTATTAGATCTTGTTTTATCTAAAACTTCTAGGCTAACCTCGTTTGTGAATCCCACTGGGCTCACGGGATCCTTTTTTAACCATGCACGGCCAATTGGGCCCACCACTCAAGGATTGATTACTGCCAAAATCCTAGGATCAATGTCTCATTCACGTGTTAATAGTTTTGGATTTTAAGTGAACATCAGTTTTATATCCTAATTTAACTGGTATTTTAGTTAAAGCATCCATACTTTTGGAGTTGAAGTTTTTTATTTTTACTTTCATATGAGATTTCTTAATATGTTAGGAACACGACTTGGTTCACCAAGTATAAAAATAAATAAACAATCAATCAAACGTCCTATTCTACTTGGTGTACCGGACTATATTCTGGGGCACACTGATAAATTTCCCTTTGAGATACGAGGCCTGGTCGGGTTAGCTTACTCTCTGGCAGTGCCATCTTCCTTGACAACACTATGGTTGAATGGGTATGGCCTCTGTTTTCATTTTTTTAATGTTTTATGATTTGTGATTTTAATCTTATTTTTTGAAAATCCACGTGGCATTGTACAGGCTTTGTGGATATCCCATGGGAATTAGATTTGCTCCGGAACCTTAAGTGTCCGAAACCTAACGATCAACTTATCCGAGATGCACAAATTGAATCTAACGGTCTCAATTAACTCATTTCATTAGCTCACCACACAAATCAACAGCTTTGATTTCTTTTACATGCTGATCAACAGCTCAAATAGATTAATTCTTAAGCTCCGAACACCAAAGTTCGGAACAGAATACCATGTCAGAAGTAATAACCCGCCCAGGCTTGGCCAACACCACTAACCCCTTTTTTCTCTTTTTCTTGAATTGAATCACACGTATGGGCCACAGGTTATTTAATTACTACATTGTAGTAGGCCTTGATGTTTTATACAAATGAAAATAATAAACACTTATTATAGCCTAATCTTGTCCGTTATTTCATTTTGATTTATTCAATTTAACAGTCAGAAAAACATGACGGTGTAAAAATCACCCTCCTTAGGCAATTCTCAAATCCAAATCCTTTCGACGGGTGTTTTCAACCCGGTTGTACAATCACCAACTTTCTGAGTCCATCAAGCTAACCCCACGAAATAATCAAATTGATGCATAGATTGATCAACCCTGCTAACCCAAACATTGGACATTAGTCCAAGACTTACCAATTTTCAGATGACAACCAACATCGACACACCAGCATGAAGGTTTAAGCCCTGCAATATTGCCACACAAAGCAAGAACAATTCATCCCCGGACGAACCGAAAACAAAAAAATAAAAACAGGAACTAGAACAATTCTTCCAGATCTTCTCCAACAACTAAAAAAACATTTGACAAAAATAGAAAAAGAAAAGAGGAGTTTAGTTCAGGGGGTTATTCAGAGTCTACAACTGCAAAAGTGCATACAAATCTACTAAACAGAGCAATCTCATGGGAATACAAGAGAATTCATATGAATGAAGTTGGATTACAGGCTATCTAATTTTGTAGTCACCAAAGCATCCTGAATCTGTCAGCACCAAACCAAAAACAAGTCGTCGAAATTTAGATGGGTCGCGGTCGCGGTCGCACTACTTAGCAATGTACATGTGCTATCGAAAACAGACCAACTGTTATCAATTTATCACCACATTCTACCAATATTATACAAATTCTGACAAGACCAATGGAGCCCCGACGCATACACATTGAGGAATCAAATCAGAGAGAAACCCATTCTATACTTGCAGCAGGATGGTTGGAGGCCTCGGAGAAAATTTCTGCTATACACCAATCACAGATTCAAATCGAACATTTGTCCGAAAAAGCTTCCGATCACCATCTACCCTAATTTTCAGAGATCTGCCATTTAAGAAAAACGTCATTAGTAATTTGCTGTTATCTAGTCAAAAACACTCTACTAATCAGTTACATAGTTGCTTCCATCGACCATTCAAAATCCAAGACGCCAAAGGCCTTCATTTGTAATCCAAATCAATATATTAACAAGATTTACTTTAAGTATGTATGTGCTATAAGCATATGAGCACCCAAGGGCACAGATAAGAACAAACAAAAGTGGTGTAAAAAAGATATACACATGCCCTGTATAGTAAAAAAATCTAAAAAACATGCACTCATGCAAAGCTTAGATGTGATCAAATTAATCGAACCTAACGCAACAACACTCATTAACCCTGACTTGCTCACTTAACTGATCTAATGCTGACACCCTCTCCCAGGAGAAAGACAGGTTATTCCCTTATAAGTCTGACTCGTAATTATTGGAAAGGACCGTACACGACATGCTATAAAAAAACAGGAAAGCAGAAATAAGCAACAAACAAAAGTCAAGCATGACTTGCTCGGCACTGCAAGTCCATAATCCAAAACACAGACCAAAACGATCCATCTTACTAACTTCTTCAAAATAATCCTTCCCTACCAGGAAAACAGTAGATAACCCACATACCATGGTGAACGTACTAAGGTGGCTGGCATATTGTAACTTAATAGAAAAGACAAAAAAGCAAAAAAGCCATTTCAGTGATATAAAATGGATGAAAAATTCTGGTCAAATTAGATATGTATATTGGTTTCTTTGGCAGCCTTGCTGGGATCCCCAGATTGAATAATTGGTTTACAGGATGCTCTAAGGGAATCATGTCTTCTCGGATTCCAGCTTTTTATTTCTTACAAAAAATTTTGACCTAAACCCTGAACAGAGACGAACGCTGTATACAGGTAGTGAGGTCATATATACTCATGGGACTCCATAATATATACAATGGACCTTTCTTGTGAAATAAAACCATCTTAGAATGTACTAGAAAATTTTGTGGGGAAAAGGACCAAAGACCAGAAACACATCTCTCATTAAGCACTACCACGATTTTTATTCTGGGGACAACAGTTGGAGTGGTAATAAATTCCCTTGAAATTTCTAAAGAGGGAGAGCAACAAAAAAGGTGGGAAAAGGGAAGGTTGACAATTTTGAGATTGGTGAATATATGAGATGATATTTGATACCAGATTTGATAGTTACAACAATTAGTAACGGTCAGTGGTAAAATTGAACAGCACTTTCTAACTCAAGATAGAACGACCTTGACACAGCAGGCTTTCCAAGCAACATGCATACAACCAATATGTACGCAACCCTTAACTTCACATTTAACAAGAATGCATGTGATAATATGCACAGATTATTAGAAGTATTAGTCTAAATTCGAATCAACACTTAAATTCTGTCATAAATGTTTTGGTTTCCTCTCAGTAAAACCTGTCAATCAAAAAAAATAAGATTTTAAATTTCATTCTCTCGGTAAAACTGTTTGATTTCCTGCTCCCACACGCCAACTCCATCCCCTTCTCTCCTCGCTACCTTCCTCATCACTCCCTTCCTCTCTCCAAATACTATTCATATTTGTTTTGGTAAGTGATTCTCATGCACCATTTTTCTTCTACACACCCTTGTTTATTTATGGCCTTCTGATTCAAGAAACCAACGGAGAATCAATGAACATAAAATAAACAGGTGTGCAGAAGGAGAAAAGGGGTACGCAAAAACCATTTCCCTTTTTTTTTTTTATAAAACTCAGTTCATATTTGAAACAGGTGGAAAGTGAGAAATCTCTGAAAATGTGGACCCTGGCACCAAGTAAAATTGCTACAAATCTGTATAGCAATTGTAAACCAAGAGTTTGAGTTTTATATATTGGCTTTTTAGCCAAAATGGTCCCTAAGATTTGCATAACTCCTCACTTTGGTCCCTGAGATTTGAAATCAATAGAATTGGTCCCTGAGTTTGTCCACCATCAATCATATTGGTCCTTACTTGAAAAATCTCCATTAAATAAGAGTAGAATGACCAAAATACCCTTATTTTTTGTCAAATCATTTTGGCCCATTGTTTATTAAATTGAGGGTATATTTGTTATTTTGATCCTTATTTAACATAATTTTGCACGGAACGACAAAAATGATTGATGGTGGACAATCTCAAGGACCACTTCTATTGATTTCAAATCTCAAGGACCAAAGTGATGTGTTATGCAAATCTCAGGGATCATTTTGGCTAAAAAGCCTTATATATTATATACGTCATTCAAAAGTCTTAAACATCAAGGACTAGAGGTGGGGGTAAACAAGTAAGCCGGGAAGGGGGTAAACTCATAGGAATACTTGCTGCTCGTCCTTTTCCATGAAAAGTTATTTAAGAAGAAACGTTATTATTAGAAGAGAAAAAAATTATGAATCTTGAGAAACGTTCTGGAGATAAATTGCTTGCTAACAAGTTTGAGTATTGATAGTTCCAATGTATATAATACTTATTGCAATTAGACACACACACACACACACACACACACATATAACAGCTTCACACTGTAGCAAAAAAAAAAAGAAAAGTAAGCAACCCTCATGCATGACACATTTGGTGCTATCATCTAGAGTTCTTTTACAAAATCACGGCTCCAAGGTGAATAATGCAGCAATACTAATAAATAGTTTTGCCCATACAAAAGGTAAAACCAACAAATGTACTTCCAAACCAAAAAATTTAAAATAGTTGGTCAGCTACTGCAAGGCGTTGGTCAAGTTCAATGTCAAAGATAATATCATTTTATTCAAAATATATAAAACCACCACTAAACACTATAAAGGTACTTGATTACACAACTAGGAAGAACAAAAATTACAAAATGCTTGGAATAAGAATCAAGTTGACAGAATCTTACCTCAAAAGAAAATAGTTAAGTCCTAGGCGATCCCGCATCCGATCCAGATGCTGACGAACTATCACTATCTGAGTCTGCAGCAACACGTGTAAGAAAAAGAAATTACTTTACCAAACAAGAACTTGCATAAATGCATCCTATATGCTCAATAACTTCACATCTGTGAGCAGAAAAATGTATTATAGTACCACTTGAGGAAGATCCCGAATCACTGCTAGAGCTGCTTGAACTACTCGACCTACTCCTATTATCGCCCTGGTTATCCCCTTGAATGGGTGTTGAAGAGGAAACAATCCTTTCATCTGCTCACAAAAGAAACAAGTTTCAATTTATCAGTTTCTCCAAGGACTGATTCCAATGCCATGAAACCTCACATTCTGAAATACTTTACCCGTTTTAGGTTGTTTCGGAACCTCTTCTGCAACTGGGGCCTGGGTCTGTAAAAAGATAAGGAAAAATGAATCATTTACCAACAGCGGCCACCACAAAAATCTGAGGTTAGAATTTAGCACGAGCCAAGACATACCTGCTGCTGGACATTCTGCTCAGCTTCTGCTCTGGCTTGCATTTCAGCTTTTCGCTTGTGTTTGCTCAAACTCTTCTTGTAGTTGGTTACAAACCTGTCCAGCTCCCACAGGGTCTCGGTATCGACGCTATCTATGTCCACTTCAATTTCATCATCATGCTGGAAGAGTGACGAATTCCTCCTCTTTATAATCTGTATAATGGCATCCAGCTTCTCTGAAGGCAGACTCTGGAGTTGGGTGCTAAGCTTTTGCTTTTCGTCATAAGTCATATCTCTTTTATGAGGATCTTTAGCCTTAGGCTTCTTAGGAGCGGGGGTCCTAGGAGTAATAGTCATGGGTTTTGGCTTCGGATCAGCGTGATGAGAAATGGACTCGGACCTGTCCAAAATCCTTCGCATATCAAGAGGAGGTGGTGGCAGCAGAGGTGCCTTTCTCGGTGTAGGTGTTGGAAGATTAACCCCATAATCATATCCAAACCTCATCTCACGATTGTAATCTGACTCTATGATAGCCCACCTGTCCTCAAATATTCTGGATAACTGCTCTGCCATGACATGAACATCCTGCCCTTGGGGGTTATAGGTCATGGCATTGTGAAATGTAAGTCTCACATCCTCCGCAAATTCTTTCGGAGACTTGTACCAATTCTTGTTCAACCTCGACTTAATGGTACCCAAGTCCATTGGATGCTTGATAATGATATGATAATCGTGCAAACCAAGCTTCGCAGCATCAACAGGTTCATTAAACACCCAACTATGCTTGTGTTTCATCAATTTCTCAAGCAAAGAACTGCAACTCTTGAAAAACTTGCTTCCCATCCCACCAAACCCTTGCCCTAATTCTGCTCCACCATGTTTTTTCCCATTCAATTTCGACTTCTTGTTACTCTCAGCAGGTGGAATCTTATCCTTGGCCAGCAAAAACTCAGAATTACGATAGAACTGGTTCGCCTTGGGGGTTCTCTTCTCTTTCTCCACAATATCACTCATTCCCTGACTATTCTCCAACACGGATATACTCAGCTGATGCAACGGCCTGGTAGGCTCTCGAGGAACACCTACAGAAGCAACCTCAGAGTGAACCCGCCTCAGCCCTCCACCTGCACTATTCGCCCCATCATTCACTGAAACATGGGAGAGACCAACCCCACCAATCTGCCCCTGTTTGGCCTCAATCCTCTTCACCAAACTCCGCACCAAATCGAGCTCGCTCTCAAGCTTCCTTCGTAGCTCCCGCTTGTCCTGCTTCGACCTTGAAGCAAAATTAAGTTTAATTCGGCTATCTGAAGTCGGCTTGACCACCCCATTCTCTGCAGGTGAATTCTGACTTTCTCGCTCAATAGTTGCCTCTACCACTGCCTCTACTGCTGTCACCACGGGTTCTTGCCGGTTCAGGCTCGAGGAGTCATCAGAGGCAGCAGCACCGGACTGTGAAATGAGCTGCTGCTGCTGAGCGGAATTCCCATCCCCAGACAGAATAGTCTGAGCCGGAGGCTGAGTGGAATTCTCATCATTCTCATCACTATTCCCGTTATGCTTGTTCTCACTATTGGTGTCCTTGTTTTCATCGTTGTTGCTGTCCTTCTGGTTCTCGTGGTTGGTGGTGTCCTTCCGATTCTCGACGTTGTTGCTGTCCTTCTCGTTCTCGACGTTGTTGCTGTCCTTCTCGTTCTCGACGTTGTTGCTGTCCCTCTCGTTCACGTTGATGTTGCTGTTTTTCTCGTTCTCGTTGATGCCCTTCTCGTTCTCGTTGATGTTGCTGCCCTTGTTCTTGTTGATGATGTTGTCCTTCCCGTTGATGTTGTTGTCCTTGGTGGTGGTTGGGGTGGTGGCAGGGGCGGAGGGGGCAGCTAAGGCAGTGGCGGTTGAGTCAGTATTTGTGTTGGCGTCGGTGTTGGCGTTGTTGATGATGTTTGTCTTCTTGGGGCCTTTGAAAGCTTTTCGAGTATAGACCTTGCTCTCCGTGAACCTCTGTTTCTCTCTGGCTCCATCACCTTCTCCTACTGTAGGCCCTGAAGCCATACATGTACCTCCCACAACCCTAATTCCCGTTTTTCCCTCTCACAAAGATCCAAGATTCCTAGGGGTTGTTCCGCTATCCGCCCAAAACAAAAACAAAAAATTAACAAAACCCTAATTTTCCCCCCAAATCTCACACAAAAGTCACAAAATCCTAGGGTTTCTTTCCCCTATCCGACAAAATAAAACAGATATTAACAAAACCCTAATTTTTTCCCCAAATCTCACACACAAAACTCCAATTAGGGCTTCCTCACAGCAACTCAGCTAGAGAGTGTTAGGCTTGCAACATCGACAACCACAAGGGGTAGAGCTTCGAGCTTCGTTTGCCTTTCTCTCCTATCAGATCTCGTTCTCTCTTCGCTCTCTCTCTCTACTTTCTCTCTCTAAAATGTTTCACAGTCTCACAGTTTCTCTCTCTTCCCTCTCTCTCTCTCTCTCTCTCTCTCTCTCTCTCTCTCTCTCTCCCCTTATCTTACAGGTGTACGGCGAGGGAGGGGTTCGTGAGGTAGCGGTGGAATGACGAAGCGTGTGGGAGCATCAAAAGAGTCGTGCCGGGGAAGTATCATAGCACGGGCGGGGAGCGTGGTAGACTAACGCGGCATCTGAGGGAGTGACGTGCAACCGGCCAATGTTAGAGCGAGGAGAGTGGGGGGTGACGTCATGTTTGGGTTGAATTTATTGGGAGATTGTGTGGCGGGGAGCTGTGTTGTGGAATATTTGGAAGAGATTCTCCAGGCGGTAAGAGGGCGCGTGCAGTGCACTTTCGGGTATTGTGGGATTTTCGATTTGGTGAAGATGAAAGTCGCCGGCAAGGTTCATTATATGCCCCGATAATGTGCCCATTGCTGCCATTTGGTCGTTGCTGGTTGTGGTTGAGGAGAGTTGCAACTCCCAAGCCATAATGGGCTTCAATTGGGTTCTTTGTTTGAAGCCAGATGTGAGCTCAGTTCCTCTTCCTTAAGGCCATCTTCAATCAAAATGATTAGCATAATCTCGTTCAGAATTATAATTTTGTAAAAAAAATTATTTTAAATAAATAGTGTTAGATTATATTCATATATCATCTCCAATTCAAGGAGCTAAACATAGCCCCCTTGATAATTTATTAGTTTTAGCTTTATATTTTAACTTTATTGGTTAATTTAATTAGCAATCACTGAATCTTTCAAATCTAAGCGTTGAATTTGAATCAATTATTGCAACTGAAAAGCTAAGCTCCAGAAAATGGGCTAAAAGGAGAGCTACATTTGGCTAGCATGATGCCACTTTGACCAAGTAATAGATTGGTGGGCTCCACAGAATTATAGCTTAGTCATCGATTGAAGATGAGATTTTTGGGAAATTAAGTCATTTTTTGGCTTTTAGACGTTTAATCCTCTCCATTAGAGATGACCTAAGAGTATCTCCCTTAGTTGGTGGAAGGTAAGGGTAAGGCAAAGCCACGGGTATATAAGTTGCCCTTTGAATAGTATTTGCCTTTGTGCAACTCCGCCAATTTAAAAAGGGTAAGGACAAGGGCAAATTTTATTTTATTTTTTTTTAATGCTTTGAAAACAAAATAATTGTTTAATTCTAATAAATTATTTCAAATATAAGGCAAAAACATAGCATGACAACAAACATAATTAATTAAAAAGCCAAAAAAAACTCCCTTAATCATATAAACAACATCGAAATTGAAACAACCTAAAAAAATTCTAATTTTAATAATATTTTTCAATTTTTATGATTTTTGTATACTTTTTCTAATATTTTTTTATGATTTAATTCTAGCTGTTGATTTCCAAATTGATTTGAAATTGGAGGCACCAGATTGCACCATATGGCACAATGGTAAGATTTTTAAATTATTTTTATCATTGGAAATCCAACAGTCTAGATCTTATGACAATTGGAAATCCAACGATCCACATTCAGCCACGTCATCTAGCCATTGGAGTGGGCTAGGATTTCTATTGCAGTGAGGCCCACCGCTACAAGTTTTGTCTCTCACTCTCCCTTCACAGTTAGACGCATCTGATTAAAAAAATTAGGGTTTGCACCAGTGTCACAATGACATCAACTTGTCCGAAGGCAGCAAGTTGGGCTTAAGATGGTTGGACATTTGGGCTAGCAGTGGTTAGCCCACCGCTTGCCTTTGGTTTATTGGACTATTGGAGAGGTTTTTGGGTTTGGAAAGGAACATTATTGCTTTTGTCCTTGCCTTCCACCAATTGGTGGAGATGCTCTAAGGCTTTATTGAATAATTAATATTTGAAAAATCAATGCTGTAACGACTCGTCTCCAAAATTTTAGTCTTTATAATTTTTAAATGTGAATTTACGGAAATACCCTTTGAGGAAAAGACTTTGACTTTTGTTGACCGTCTTGTCATGTCACATAAGGTTCGTTTTCTTGGCGTATCCTCTTAGTACTCGCCGCTACGAACACGTGGGCGTAAATGGAACGTAATTTGGAGTTATAACGAATGAGTTATTAACAAATGAAGTCAAGGGCAAAATTGTAAATTTATTATTTTCTAGAATGCCCCATATTTTTGGAGCAAAATCTGGAAAAGCCACGTGTGTGGCCCAGATTAAAGGGAAAAAAAGTTGGGCGATGGAGATGAAAGATAAAGGAGAGGGAAAGAGGATAGGCTGCTCAATTGGGAGAAGAGAGATAAATGAGTGACCAATGGGAAAGAAGAAAGGAAGAAAAAAGGAGAAAGTGAGGATGAGGGAAGTGAGAATGGGAAGAGAGAGAGAGACCGCCGGTGAATTTTGCAGCTCGTCTTTGTGAAGATGACGGAAAGAAAAGTGCATTTGCAGCTCATCTGTGAAGATGAGAGGATAAAGTGCGAAAAGAAAGAGAGAGAGAGAGATTTAAACATTTGAATAAGTGGTGGTGCAACTGTGCAAGTTGAGGACTGGGAATCTAAGGTCAAAAGCATGGTTTTAAATATGAAAACCATGGACTCTGACATGGTTTTAATTATGAAACCACCCAAGGTGGATGGGTGATGTGAAAGAGCAGAGGTGAGGTGGACGGTTTGATGGTTTTTGTAATGAAAACCACCCATTATGTGGGCTTTTTATATTTTTAAAAGTTTGGTGTGTGTGTGTGTACACATATATAAATCTTATATAAATTATAAATTATTTAGATAATATTTTGTTTTTTTTTTCCTAGGCAAGTATATCATATATGTACAAAAAAAAATTCACATATGTATGTTTTTCTATAAGAAATAATATATTAGTCAATAATTATTTACATTTGATATAATAAATTTAATTAATTCATAAAATATATAAGAAATTTACCTAAATCCGCCTAGACCCCGCCTAGGCGCTAGGCGCTAGCCCGCTGCCCTTTTTTAGAACCTTGATACACACACACACACCTTATGGTTTTCCAAAAATGTTTTATATTGATTATGCATAGCATGCCATGATTTAAATGTGTTATATTTAAATATTGCATTGTGATGAGTTTTGTGGTTACGTCAAATGATCATATAAAGGTGCAGGTAAGTTCAGGTGGGTTATTATGTGATTGAAATGGTTGAATTATATGAGCATGCATATATTCATGTGGAGCTCATCATTGATGCACCCCCGGTGTTAGTGCTCCTGCTCTGGGCCAAGGCATAGCCTTTTATGTGATTGTTCATGTCCCGCACCGCACTCTCACCTTGGATCCAACTAGCCTGTCGTACAGGTTGCATTATGCGACTCCAACTCATAGATGACCCGCGCATAGTGCTAGCTTTTCATGTGATCGTAGCACTAGAGCATACATATTTACATTCAATATGTTGTACATGTCACACAAGGTGACTCTGACTTGTGTGCTAGCATAGACTAATGAGCAATAGGTCCAGTCGTACAAGTCACATAAGGTGACTCCGACTGGCATGCTAGTTTAGATTGATCTCACACCTCGCTTTCATTTATTATTGCTGAGATATTGAGGCATGGCATGCTTCTGTTTTTATTGCACTTGTGCATTTATTTTTCGTACCTATGTAGTATTATTTTCTAGAAACTATACAGGTTTTACGGCAATGGGTTATAACGCTTTCAAAAGGTTTTTATTAAAAATTTATTTTTAGGCCCACTCACCCTTGTTTTTCTCCTCTCCAGGTTCTAGTAGTAGAGTTTTCATACCGACGAGGATTATCGGCAAATCTTGTGGTAAACGATGACCATCAATGGTATAATTCTCACCCTATTTTACTGTACTGTATTTATGCACTGTTATCACGTATGAAATGAGTTCATACTCGCTCACCGTGCACTCTTGTACTTAGACACTTTTGGGTTTAAATTTATTCACATCTTCCACATTAGTACATTTTATGGCTTCGTCACATTCCAGGTGTCGTCCAACACAACTTGATTCAGAATCCTAGTGGACATCTTGGATCGAGGTGTGTCAAGTGTTGCTCACCTAAGGTCTTCTTTAATAAGAGACATCAAATTAATCTAACGATAAATTAACTTATAAGCTTAAATTATCTCTCTTTAACCTGTTGGACACCTTTTGATTGAGTTGGATTTGAGCCTTAGTAGAAACTGTGGGACCATGATTTTCTAAGATAGGAGTATGGGTGGTTTCGATACGATTATAGTACCAAAACTCTCGTACCAATTATTATACTAAACTTTTGGTACGACAAAATTGATTACCATTACCGTACCAAATTTTTGGTATACCAAAGTTCGGTATGCTAATTATTCAATTGGTATGGTATGATAATAATAATTACCACTTTGTTTTATGCCACTTTTTTGGGTCACAATCTGACTTTTTTTCTTAAACCCAATCCAAGATCAATAATTTTTTCTTTTCACTGTTTTTGGTTTTGTCCTCCTCTCCCAGTTTATAATCGAAAGGGAAGGATTTTGAAGATGGGTTTGGGGTGTTCTGGGGGAATTGGTATGTGGGTAGTGGCTGATTCAGGTGGGTGTGGTTTGAGTGAGGCAACTGAAGGGGTTTTTTTTTCCTATTATTGAAAATTATATATATATTTTATATGAAAATATATATAATATATATTTATAGTTTTCGGTATGGTACAGTAATACTATGGTAATTGTATCGAATACCAATATTCTATTAAAAAAGCTCGGTTCGGTATAATACCGTGCCATTACCGATTACCACAAAAAGTTTGGCACAAAATCGGTATAGTACAATTGACAATTCGGTTAGTATAATAATTTGACCGAGAAAATCCACCCCTAGATACGATTAAGATTGATCTGAATACATACCTCGTAAGCCTATGAACTCACCGTACAAAACCAGACCCCAAGAAAAAGATAAGAAGTGACCAGAAATGCTCTGTTTATCAACAACGAGAAGGATATGAAAGTAGAACATCGGAGTAGTGAAGGAATTCGGCACCCAAATCACATGAAAGTTGTAACAAAATGCAGCGTCGTAAAGTAAAGGCCATGCTTTCTCCCACCTTCCAAGCCCCCTCCTTTTCTTCTTCTTCTTCTTCTTCTTCTTCTTCTTCTTCTTGCTTGCAATACTCACCTTGGTCCGGCCTGCAAACCTGGAGAGAGTGCCCACTCAATGAGAACCGTTGGTGGGGTACCAAGGGCCCACAGCCTCAGCCGCTACAGTCACAGCCCTCCTCCATTGACAAGCATTACAATCAAATGGTGTCGTCAGCTTCCTCCCTCGCAGAGCTCGGCGCTCTGGTTCTCTCCACCAGCGACTCCCTCGCCAAGTCAAGGATTTCCCACCTCGCTTATTCCAGGTGGCGCCATCACCGCCTACCGCTCGGTGCATCTGATCCCCCTCCTCCGCCCGCTCGCCCCTTCAAACCCCAACTGGTAATTTCACCATCTTTCATGGGTAACTTACAATTTCATCATGTTTATATATTTTCTGTTTGTGGGTTTTGGGATTCACTGCTTAAAACTAAACATGTACTGCTTAAGTTAAGTCAAACATTTGTGTTTTGGATTAACTGCTTAAATTAGACATCAAAGAAGGATATTTTACCTGTATATTGAATTGGGTATTGTCATTATCTGTATCCTTAAGTTTGTTTTGAACTTTTGATGCAAATTTTCCGGCTTTCGAACTCATCCTGTGTTTTCATAACTTTTCGAGTGATCGAAAACATGTATACAATGCTTTACAGCCACACTCATTATTACCCTATCGTATTGCGTGAGTTCAGGTTTCTCCTAAAGAAATTCCAGCTCCCAAGAACTCGGGTTTGCCTCTTAATGCTTATATGCTTCATAATCTTGCTCACGTTGAGCTCAACGCAATTGATTTGGCGTGGGATACTGTTGTTCGTTTTTCACCTTTTAGTGAGACTCTAGGGGAGGGTTTTTTTGCCGACTTTGCTCATGTCGCTGACGACGAGAGTCGCCATTTTGCTTGGTGTTCTCAGAGGCTTGCTGAACTTGGTTTCAAGTGAGGACAATACTTACTTTGGGTAGATTATTTGTTATCGTTTCTTAGGTTGACGTGTAATTTTGCTTTTGTAACTAGTTATGGAGATATGCCTGCTCATAATCTGCTTTGGAGGGAGTGTGAGAAATCATCTGACAATGTTGCTGCACGTTTGGCAGTGATCCCCTTAGTCCAGGTAATATGTTCTACTTGCTGTGTGTACAAACGTTATCTCTATCAGTTATTCAAATAAGATCTCTAAATAAGAACCTGTTTCCTCAACTGGTAGATCAGACGTACACAGCTGAGGTGCAATGATATGAGATGTATTTCATTGCATGTTAGCTATCCCTCACTGTGGTCATTTGAGGCATTATATGCTTTATCATCTGTGCTCACTGGAAAGTAGTTTAGCATGTTAAATTGTGTCTGAATCTGCAGTCTTGATTTGCTAGATAATCTGGCTCTGTCTCTCTGATTTGAATGTTTTTCAATTATATTCACCTGTCTTTAATTTCTCCCTAAATAATAAAGAGAACTGCATGACCTTGTATATATTGGTATGGAATGCTGGGTGAGTATAGAGTTGATACTACATATATGAAAATGTATACAATGCTATCCAAAAATTGAAGAAAATGAAGCAATGCATTTTTGAAGCTGGAAGAACTTTTGTCAACTTATGAAGAACTATTCCTTGAGGTTTAGAGGATTGTTGAGCTAATGTAGGAAGAAAGTGCGAGAACCCAGACTAGGGACAGATGACTGGCACTCAATTTGTTCCACAAACTCTTCTGCCACTTTTTTTTTACACCAAGCTATTATGATGGGAATTTGGATTTCTAATGATGCGTATTGTCTACAAGAATGAATGATTTAGTTGGATTCACTGATTGGTATTCTTTGGTATTCTTTCAAACTCGTAGTTTTCCTTCAATGCATTTCCCAAATTTTTGTAGTTGTTCAAGCTGTTTTTCAACATTGATTATTCATGTTGAGACTGATGGGCACCAACTTCCCATATGCTAAGGTTTAGTACTGTTTAAACTTTATCATATGAAGAAGGATTGGAGGATGGTTGACTATTTGCAAGATCTTTTCCTCATCAGTCACCCCATGAGCGTTGGCATATAGTTGATTGAATGATGAACAGCTAAAGAAACATTAGCTTTTTTCTTCCCCCTCAACAACTTAGCATTTTGGGTGCTGTTTATGCGAAAGTGCGGTATTTGATGGTAAGTTTTTTTGTTAAGTGAGTCAGGTTAGAAGATAAAGAAGACATTCTACTTTCCCCATTTTGCTTTTGTTTCTTTGTATGGGAAAGGGCATAACAACGGGTGGGATTAACCAATTTAGCTGCAGACTCTTTTGTTTTATATTGATATGGTTTGACATGCTTGGACACACATATACTGATATGCGTCAGTTTTCCACAACTTAAAAATAGCACTATATATTCTTTGCTTCGATCCTAATTTATTCATTTGTGTATTATATTTTGAATTGTAATTCTTGGTTTTAGGAAGCTAGGGGACTAGATGCTGGACCTCGACTTGTACAAAAATTGGTTGGTTTTGGAGATCTTAGGACATCTAACATTGTTGCTAGAATCGCTGATGAAGAAGTTGCACATGTAGCTGTTGGTGTCCACTGGTTTGTCGATGTCTGTCAAAAAATGGGTTGTGCCCCATCTTCCGCATTTAAAGGTTTTCTATCGTTCCATTTTCTGTGTGTATATGTTCTCACCTATAGTCATACTACATTCGAGAGCAAGATGGATATATGGATCATTTCCTTGTAACTACGCAGACTTGTTGAAAGAGTATAATGTGGAGTTGAGAGGGCCTTTCAATTATTCAGCTCGTGACGAAGCTGGCATTCCTCGTGATTGGTGAGAAAATTGTATACTATCCAGTTCTTTTGATTGGTATTAATTTGGAGAAGTTAAAATTTTAGTATTTAATATCATGTTCTTTTGTCAAAATTTATTTTTGTTTTTGGTTGGAATGAAGAAATTCTCTTTTTAGTCTGCATGTGTGAAATTTTCTGTTAAGTGTAACAGCTTGCTTCATCTCTTGTATAGGTACGACTTATGCGCAAATCACCCGCATAAGGATAAGAAAACGGATAAAAGTGAGAAGCTTTCTGAGGTTTGTGAACCTGGCGTTATAAATTTCATGAAACTAAATTCAGAACTTCGTTATTTATCTTTTCTTCTTTCGGCATCTGAATATTTGTAACATCTCAACTATTATACAGGTCTATGAAAGGCTTGCTTCCATAATTTCCATGGAGAGTGAGAACTCAAGCTTGAACAAACCTGAGTAGTTTTGCATCAACTAATGCTTTCCTCATATGTTGTTGCACTCTTTCGTCCATGGAATCAATCTTACCTAATTTCTTTGTTACATGCTCCCGAAACAGCATTCCAATTGACTTACTTTGCCAATCTGCTGAATCGCTTCTTCGGGATATCACATAATCTGGCATCTTAAATGTAGACAGGTGCGTGTACTTGGGAGTTTTTATCCGTTCCCCCTTACTTCGATGCCTTTCTGTCGAGGTTCAAACGTGAAATTCAGGTAGAAAAGCAGTTATCGATTTCTTCCTGTGTGTAAGTTGCTTGAGCTCACAAGTTTATATATAAAGATTGTAGAAGCTCTTTCTCTCCTTTTCCTCTTTTTTTAGCATCCAATTCCAGACAGATGCATGAATGAGAGTAGGAATTAGTATTTGGATGTGGTGGAATTACATCATAGCACATGCTTCACATGGCCATTGTAGTAGGACTAGTCTCTCCTTTTGCAATTATTATTTGTAAATAAGAGATTTCTATGGTGCTCCACACTCGAGACGTTTTAACCATTAGTTAGATCTTTGGTTAAAAATACAAAACCAAGAGTTAACGGTTGAAGCATCTTCAAATGAGATGTCAAAATCTTAGGTAGAATGTCACTGTGCATATTTGACATAAAAAATCTTTCTGACCAAAATGTTATTTGCTTGGATTTGAAGGTTTGTGATTAAGAGTTAAATTTATTTTTAATTAATTTTAATGGTGGATCCCAACTAACATTTTAACCAATAAAAATTTTGTTAAAACATTTTTTTGTAATAATTACAACTATTTAAAACTCTATTTTAATAAGAAAATAACATTTGACAATTCGGTTTGGGAAGTATAAAATTTGACATAAGATTTCAGATTGTTGAATCAGCCATTAATTTTATTGACTATTATAATTTGACATTTTCTTTAAAGATGATTTTATAATCTTGAAGTATATACTCTGCTGCATGACAGATTTTTGTGCAAAAATGCAATTTTCTTTCCCCGTATTGCAAAAGGTTCAACCACCTCCTCGTGCGCATTTAGACACTTTGTGCAGATGCAGTATATTTCAACCGTGTCCAACAAACTTCCCTCATGCTTCACGCATAGCTAAACTTTTCAACTTCAACTTGCGTTGCATGATGGCATGTCATATGTTCTTCCTTTGCGTCCATGCTTTAGTGTTTGATTAGCCTTTTAGAGCCCAAGCGACACGCTAATGAATCATGGGTCTAACATTTTTTTGAGCACGACTGATAATCATTTTGTTTTTGTAGGGTCGTAAAAATAAATAAAACTAATGAAAAATGTTTGAAAATTTTGAGTTTTAACGATAAGGACAAAATGAATGGTAGAGTGAATAGTATCAGGATTGACTTTTCAGTGTAAAAGTGTGGTTTTTCGTTAAAATGAACAGTAGCAGGAGCTTTTTGTTAAAGTTCCCTTAAAAATATCACGTACAAGCCCAAAACAATTGAATTCCATTTTTTTTTTCAATGAAGAATAATGATAGATGCTTACCAATAATCCAAGTAGGGAATCTTGTTTTATGAGAATTGATATAGATTGTGGTAGATATGACTGACATGAAAAAGAAAGGAGAAGGAAGAACCAAAATTGAAAGAGAAAGAAACGAGGAGACTTCTTGTATATAATAACCATCATTTAATTAAACAATTTTTTCTATTATTAAATAGTTTTTAGTTGAAGTTAAATTTTGGTTAATTGAAATGATTAATTTACCAAAATATGCATCTCCTAAATTGCCACTAAACAGCAATTTTTTAATGTGTCAGGAACACGATTTAGTACACCAAATGATATAATATAAGTGGTTGAAATTTATTTTTTTTTTCATGTATTTAGCCATTTATATTAGGACAATTGGTGTATTAAGCTGTGGCCCCAGTACACACTAAGTCTCTCGCCACATGGATGCCGCATAAGCATTTTTAAGCCACGTCGGCAATTTTGATAGGTAGCATTATCCACACACCCATCTTAATTTTTGACTATCAGATCGAATCAATTGAACAATATTAATTACAAAAAATTAATAAAAATATGTAGTAAGTAAAAATGAATGTGTGAATAACATATTTCTTTTTGATAAGTTAATATTGAGTTCCAATGTGTGACGAAATTTTAATTAAATTAAAAGAAGGTGAGATGGATGTCAAATTCGAGGTCATTCCATAAATAAATCTAATAATTAAAGGGAGGCAAAGGAAAGTGGAAGAAAATTGGGAATCCTAATAGTGATCCACACCCACCACGAAATGAGGTCTTCGTCCATTCTTTCTTCTCTCTTTCTCTGTCCGTCACATTCAAACTTCAACTACTCAAGTAAGTGAGGGTGAAGCAGAAGCAGAAGCAGTTGTTGAAGGAAGCAGAAGCAGAAGCAGAAGCAGAAGCAGCAGAATCGGAAATGTGCTCTTCGGAGGGTGATTGCAGGCCTTTGGGCTTTCTACTGGGCCTTCCGTTCGCTTTCCTCTCCCTCCTTCTCTCCATTGTCGGCATCGTCATCTGGATCGTGGGGTATGAATATGATTCCTCTTCTCCCTATCTATCTCCAATTCATTGATTTTCTCTCTCAAGTTTGCAATTTGATCGATCATCTCATCTGGGTATCTCAAATTGTTATTGGTTGGTGTTTTGAATTTTTGAAGTTGTGATCTGGTTGATTGATTTGATTGAGATTTGAACTTTGGGGGTGGTGGGTGGCAGATTGTTGCTGACGTGCATCTGCCCGTGCTGTTTGTGCGTGACGGTGATCGTGGAGTTGGCTCTGCAGTTGATCAAAGCCCCAATTCATGTCATGGAGTGGTTCACTTCTCAAATCCCCTGTTAATCTCTCTCTGTTTGCTTGATAGTTGATACAATTACTCTTTTTTTTTTTTATTATTTTTAATTTTAATTATAGTAAATTCATCAGCTTGGTTGTGTTGCTTTCTTAATTAGATACTTATATCAGTGTGAATGAATGAATGTTTATGCATGACGTCCAGGTTTGTTATTACAGTATATCTTACTGGTAGATGAAGATAGTACTAAGTACTTAGACCTGCTAGTTTCATGTAATCAGGAAAATAAGTCGATTTTTTTGAGGTCAGGATTGTATTACCAATAATCATCGCTTTAATAATACGATTTATCATAGAAATTAAATTAAATTAAAATGATCTCTTTAATTTTTATTTTTATTTTTGTTATTTCTTCTTCTTTCTTTTGTTCTAAATCTCATTTATAAATTTTATTTTTAATTTTATAATCACAAATTAATTGTATTTATCTACTATGTCACAGTTTCTTTTTTGTAATCAAAATGTATCACAAGTAATTTGTCTTGGTCTTTTTTTTTTTTTTTTTGAAAGAAACGATAAAATTTCATTAATAACCAACCACTTACAAGGATGTCAATAACCATCCAATTACAAGGATGCCAAAGCCATCCTGTTACAAGAACGCTAGATGGGTACATAAGCTCCAGTGATCAATTTCTTGATCTAGAGGTGATGAGCACAAATTACAAATAATTTTGAAACCCCTATAAGGCAATCACTCAAAACACACCATTACAACAAGGAGTCCCGAGATTGATATGACCCATAAGTGGCATACCAAGCACTGAAACCCTCACCAAAGATTGATATCAAGCACTCAACCCGAGATTGATATCACAAGTAATGTGTCTTGTTTGTAGGTAATATTTTTGTACCTTTTAATTAAGTTTCATATCTCACTTATAAGTACAATATACATTCATATACTTGTTGTTGAGTTAGAGTGGTATGTTTTATAAATGAATTTGTGTTGGTATATTTATTTTTCGTTTAGAAAAATATTAAGTGGATTTGCAAAAAATAAATCTGAAAAAAAGATAATACTGAACTTAACCGTGATCAGGGTGTGACAACTAACAACTTGTTAGGGCCAGCCAAGTGGGTTGATGGTCCCACTTTAGGATCTCTCACGCATATTAGGACCAGAGGTTCACGCGACTCGCACCTTCATGTTGTACTGCTGTTGTTGGACGTACTAGGCTGGTTGAGTGGGCCCTAATCCATTGGGCACTCTTTTGTATTTCTCTGTTTGGGCTCATCCGCCGACGACGACTTCCACTTCTTATTCCTGGCCGCCACTCAGCTCCGCCGATGAGCATGTCTTTTATCGTCTGACCAATCTCAAGTAGAAGTTTCCGTGACTGCTCCCAGCATCCCCACACCAACCTCTCCCACTTGAGAGCTGTCCATGCTCCTCACGTACACCTCATTGGTTCCTCCGCCACGGCCACGGCCGACTTCATCCAACTTTCCTCCCTTCCCTCTTTTTCCTCCCATTTGCCCTCCAATCGATTATGCTATCCTGTCCACCCTGGTAACCCTGATCACCATTCAAACACAATCAACACGTTAAACTCTCCTCAAATACTAAACTTCCCATAAAATATAATATTTATGCCGCACATATTATATATGTGTGCTGCACACACTTGCAACCGGCTTAACTAATATTTTCAGCTCAAGTTTTAATTATTTGAACCAAGTTAATAAAACATTTAAACGCTTGAATCAAGTTAGCAAATCGGTGAGCAGCAGTATGTACCTAATTAGTACTCTCGACATATTAATACCTGCAGCTTATTTTGCTTAATTGCCGATCTTTTGGCCTCCTTTTCTTTCTGTGCGTCCTCCTTCTTCCTGGCAGTGTACTCCAGCCTTCTCCCCTGCCACCACAGCGGCATCTTTAGCCATACCCATAGGCTTCGAAACAATATCCACAACTTTATGCCTCGCATCTTCAGCCGCCCCCATGACAACCTTCGCCGTCTTTATAGTCTCTTCCACTGCTGCTTCAGTGGTGTACTGCACTGTAGTCCAACCGACCACAGTCACCTTGTCCTTTAAGTCCACTGCCACATCACCTGCACACGCCGCCGCAGTCTTCCCACTCTCCTAAGTTATGTCCTTGGCCTTCATTGCCACATCACTTGCATATGTCGCCGTAGTCTTCCCGCCCTCCAAGGTCATGTCCTTAGCCTTCACCGCCCTTTCTTCCATGTAATGCAGAGTGGTCTGACCTGCAGAAACCGCAACGTCTTTGGCTTTCTCTGCCAGTGGAGTTGTTTTTTCCACAGCAGTCTTGCCTGCGTTAAACTTTATATATTTCATAAACAGCTAAAAACACTAACCTAAAAGAATTTATAGATGGTAAAGATGAATCATCTTGACAAAATCGTGTGGAATAGGCTCAATCATGTACGGACTTCTCCTGCATCGCAAATCATATTGGAATCTTGTGGAATAAAATGTTAATAAACCAAAGTCTTATGCACACTCAACACTCCTTTATACTTAAACTAATGGGGCATTTATATAAGTTTTTGTGTGTTGTGAATGTGATCTGGGACCTTAGCCTTGTATTTATATGGACTTACCTCTAATGAATCTTCCCATAATAATGGCATTATGATTCCTTGCAATCCAAAGATAATTGATACACCAAATCTCATTCCAAATAGGATAGAATTAGGAGCCCTTATTCCCCAAGGAAATCTGAAATATATTAACTTATACTTGGGTACAAGTTATAGCTATTAACCAAATCCTAATCTTATCTATATTCCAAGCAATCCTTAAATTAACTGTGTAAACCTATTAGTCATTGAATTATGATCCATAATCCAACAGCCTGCATTGGCAGTTTGTGCTACTTGGAGGAGTGTATCTTTGACTTGTCCACCTTTCTTTGAGGCATACTCAGTTGTGCTGCCAAGCCCTTGCCTGGCCGACTATTTAGCCTAGTCGTAACGCTCCTCTGCAACCCTTATCACTGTAGAATTCTAACATCTTGCAGAAATCAAGAAATAGAGAGAGAATGTAGAGAGAATGGATATGTGAAGAATGAATTCTCATTAGCTTCCACAGTACACTTTACAAAGGGATATAGACTTATAAATGACTGTCTATTAACTAGTCACCACTCTTACTTAACAACCTTATGTACTAATAACTTAATCACTGAGGTAGATTACTTAACCACTAAGGTAAGTATTAATTTGGTGCCTTGAGTGCACTGTGATATGGTGATCCTCTATTATCCTTTACACACCCCTCAAGTTAAAGGGAGATGATCGAACTGAAAGCTTGGAAGTCATGGAAGCAAATCTATCTGCAGGTAAAGACTTGGTGAATATGTCTACAATTTGAAGTAATGTATTGACATGATGCACTGTGATATGACTGAGAAGAATTTTCTCTCAAATGTAGTGGTAATCCAGTTCTACATGTTTAGTTCTAGCATGGAAAATTGGATTGAATGCCAAAGCAATAACACTCTTGTTATCACATTATTTTTTTTGAGTCTTGAGCAGTGGGAAAGAAATGTCATGCAAAATCTTGCAACCCCAAGTCAATTTTGCAGCAGTGTTGGCTAATGACCTGTATTCAGCCTCTATGGAAGACTGAGCTACTGTACATTGCTTCTTTGCACTCCAAGAAATTAGATTGGGTCCCAAAAACACACAATAGCCACTTGTGGACCTTCTATCCACTGGACAACTTGCCCAATCAGCATCTGACCAAGCTGTGAGAATCTGTAAACCTTTAATAAACCAGAAACCTGAATCAACCGAGCCCTTCAAGTACCTGAGAATTCTTTTAACAACTTGTAGGTGTATAGTTCGAGGACTATGCATATATTGACAAACCTGATTAACTGCAAAAGCTAAATTTTGATATGTTTCTGATTCCAGCCCTTTTTTTAAGTGGCCACGCCCCTTTTCCTTCTAACTCGGAATTTGCACTTTAATACAATCTGCAAGCATAAGGAAGCTAACATTTTGCTATTTTATTTTATGTTGCACGCTGCTTATATATATATATATATATATATATATATGCTTAGGAAACATATAATTTGTTTGTAGCTGGGTCAAGGCATCTATATCCACTGTGATTGAGACTATACCTTAGAAACACACAAAGCTTACTCTCTGTATCTAGTTTATGTTGTGCATAAGGCTGCAACCAAAGATAGCATGCACATCCAAAGGTTTTCAAAGTATGATACTTATGAGAAGCTTTGAACAATAATTCCTAAGGATTAAGACGAGAGGACTGAGGAGGTAATCTGTTGATGATATACATAGTTGTTTGAAAAACATCCACCCAACATTTGCATGGTAATCCACTTTGAAACAATAAAGTTTGACCCATATCAACTACATGTCTGTGTTTTCTCTCTGCACACACCTATTTTGCTTAGGAATGTGCGGACAACTACGTTGATGTGTGATACCTCGAGTGTTAAGAAATGTTTGTAACTCATTGTTATGAAACTCACCCCCTGAATTAGACCTTAAGCATTGAAGTTTGCTTGTAAACAAAGTCTGAACTTTATGGACAAAGGTATTAAGTATAGAGCATACATCAAATTCAAAGTGAAGTGGATAAAGCAAGCTATACTTGGTGAAATCATCAAGCAAAATGAGATAGTATTTATAACCAATACATGAATAAGTGGAAGAAGGACCCCATACATCAACATGGACAAGATTAAATGGCCTAGTGGAACTACAAGGCAAAACAACAACTGGTAATCTAGAGGCCTTCCCCGATTGTAACTCAGAACATATAGATTGTTTATTCAAAGTACCAACTACTAGTAATTGACCTTTATTTAAAACCTTAGAAAGAGTTGCACTAGAAGGATGTCCAAGCCTTCGGTGCCAGACATGAATATTAGCTTTGGCAATCATCAAAGCTTGTGGAGATATGGCAATGCCAGAAACACCATTAGATGCATTCTAGTAAAATGGATATAGTCCTCCTTCACTAGGGCCCTAGAAGAACATCTTCCCAATGCTTAGATCTTTTATGTAAAATCCAAATGGATCAAAGGTTAGAGAACAGCAATTATCATACACAAATTTATAGATTGAGAGCAAATTATGTGATGCTTGAGGCACAAGTAACACATCATGTAGTTTAAAAACAGCATTAAAAGTTCGAATTAAGGAAGATCTAGTATGAGAGATACACATACCTTTACCATCTCCTACAAACAACTGCTCAGTGCCTGTGTAGGGAATTGCTTAATTGAGAGTTGCATGATATGGTGTAACATGATGTGTATCGCCACTATCAGTAAGCCAATAACTGGGGGAAGACATTTGAGAACCAACCATGGCATTCATCCCCATGAGAGAATTATGAGGAAGTTGAGCAGCAAATTATGTAAGACACCCACAAGAAAGAGCAGAATGGCCATGTTGATAGCATAGTTGACATGTAATGGATTAGCCAAAGTAGTAACTTCCTTGAGAATTTACCAGAAAAATTGGAGCGTGAAGGAGCAACGCCAAGAACATCTCCAGAATTGTTGTTGTTTGTGCGATTAGCTCCAAAATTTCGATTTTGATTGTATCGATTTCGATTCTGATAACGTTTACGAAAATTGCCTCTGTTCGATGAGCATTGTAAGCATGAAATGACGCTAAAGAGGAAGAAGATGACGATCTTGATTTGCGTTTTTGCAGAGAAAATTCTTTGCTTAGAAGAAGATCATGAAGTTCATCGATATTAACAGATTCAGTTCATCGATATAACATATTCATTTATTGTTTCAATTGAATCAACAAAAGATTCATAATCATTAGGCAAACCAGCAAGTGTGTAAGCAACAAGATTAGAATCAGAAATCGTTTCACCAACAGTTGCTAGTTTGTCATAAATGTCTTTGATTGAGTTCAAAAAAATTAGTCATTGTTGGATCGCCTTTCTGAATTATCTGGATCCTGGGACGAAGGTTATGAACATGAGTGCAAGAAGCACCAGCAAATCGATGCTCAAGATATTGCCATAAAGATCGAGAATCAGCCATTCCAATTGTCAGAGGAATAAGATATTCAACAATAGTTGAATTGATCCAGATCGTTAGAATTTGATCGCGTTCGCACCGAATCTCATAAGCAGGATTAAGAATGTGAGATCCAGATGAATCAGGGACACACTTAGGAGGACAAACATCATCTCCATTAACAAGACCAAAAAGCTTGTATCGTTTCAACATAGGCGTGAAATGGCTACGCCAGGTATTATAGTTCTGCCGATTCAGCTTAGCAGGTACCATATTAGCAATATTCTGGACAGTGAGATCGAAGACAGAGAGATCGAAGAAGAATTAGAAGCATCTCCAGGATAATGAAGACCAGAAGAGGTGGCCAGAGAGAAAGAGTCGGCGAAATTCATCGTAGTAGACATCACAATTGTGCAAAAGATTTACGAGAGAAAGTAAGAAAATTTAGGTAAGACCTGTTTGGCTTCTCATTAGCTTCCACAGTACACTTTACAAAGAGATATAGACTTATAAATAACTGTCTATTGCTGGTCACCACTTTTACATAACAACCTTATCTACTAATTACTTAATCACTAAGGTAGATTACTTAACCACTAAGGTAAGTATTAATCTGGTACCTTGAGTGCACTGTGATAGGGTGATCCTTTATTATCCTTAACAATCACCTCCACAGAATTCTGCAGAGCCGTTCCTCTTATCTGTGAAACTTCTTCCAAAGATGGTGGTTGTTCTTTGCTTATCTTAGTCTCTTGAGTACTGCTGCTCTCTTGTGTGCTTTTCCTCTCAAACTCAAAGCCTTGTCTTTCTTTAGAAGCTTGTTAATGCTGCTTTTGTTGGCCTTGCAGCTTGTTGTCTCCCCCTAAAAGTCATTTTCTCCACACCCTCATGTATTTGTGTGCGTCTACATTCATTATTAATCTCACTACTTTCACGGCCTTCATTGATCCGACCCTGCTTCTCTTGCTCACCACTACTCACTTCAAACCTCCTGACCGACTGAAGACCTCCACCTTGTCCTTGTCCTCCTTGATGCTCTTCGGCCTTTGCAAAATAACAGCCTTGACCAACACCTTGGCCTTGGGCTTCACCTTGACACTGATCTGTAGTCATCCCTACTCACTGACGAGCTCCACCTTGACGTTTACCTTCATGGTGCTGTTTAAATGAACGAGCTCCACCTTGAACCCCACCATGACTTTTAGTTTCATGGCGTTGTTCAAATGCAGGACCACCAGCTTGACCTTGACCTCCACCTTGGCGGTGTTCAATCTTCCTAAGAGATTGGCCTTGAGTTCCACCTTGTCATTGTCCTTGTCGTTGACCACCTCCACCTTGGCTCTTCTTTTTAGACTCAACTTCTTTATCCGCCACCATGTTTGCCGTCCTTGCCTTGTCAGCTTGCAATTCTCATTGTCCGCATCCCTTGTTGACAAGTATCCCTAAACGACTCCAGCTTATGAGAACCGATCTCATAAGTCTCTCTTGCTTTCCCCATCTCCACATCTCCCACCGTATTCCCACTCCTCATCGACGCTACTTTATCGTCATGCTGCGATGACTGCTTGCTGCTGCTGTCGAGAGAAGTGTCTTTCCTTCCAGCACTCGTATCAGCAGTATGCACCGTTAGAGCCTCAAAGTGCGTCGTCATCTTGGGCACCTTGTCTTT